TCCACTGTAGCTTAAAAAGGTTTCTGAGAGAGAATTACAATCTTACCAAACAAACTTCCCTGGATGGTTATCCGGTAAAATGCAGCACAGCACAGGCTTGTCTGCACACACATTGAACCTGATTAAAACCGCCCTGCGTCAAACTGAGACAGCAGGTTTCTCTTCCTTAATATAGTTCCTATCTGTAAGACCTTTGCCCGTTTTAATCCCAACAGGCTCATCAAGAAAATCAAAAAACAAAAAGCAGTGGCTCACCCAGTCTCCCCACCAGAAGAGAAGCTCCGCTCCAGTCATGAATCCACTCTGGACCTTCTGGCGTTGACGCTGTGGCGCGTTGACCCGATCCTAATGCCCTCCTGAAGGCGTTGTAGATAGCTGCTCCCTTATTGCTATGATTCTTCTGACACCCTTTGCCGCTGAGACACTGTCTGCTGACAATTCCCAAAGCTTCAGGGCTCAGCTCGTTGGGGATCCCAATTGCGTCCACGACACACGAACGCAAACAGGCAAACAGAGAGAAAGGTTGAGCAACTGTGTTTTTTAACATTTTAGATCTGAACAGTGAAGGACGGACGGGGGCCTGGTTACTTGAGAGTACAGCATGGAAAACTTGAGTTGTCTCCGATCGCCATGGCAGCTGAATGATGAACTCGCTTCCAGCGCATCCTCGATCGCACAGGGGTTACCAACACCACCGGCGATGAATGACAGTCTGTATAAAATGACAGAACAACAGTGACCTTTTTGAGTGAAACATTACAACCTCCCAGTATGTTTCTGATAGAATTTGACATGAATTTTTGTCTTTTGAAAAACAACAAGCAGCTGGAAAATATTTAAGAAAAGACAACCCTGTCCTCCTAAGGCCATCCTCCTTTTACTAAACAAACTAAATCTAAAAACAAAGACACCCAGAAAGCGATAAAAGCTTTCATGCACACTAGACTACCGCCCACACCAGGTGAACATCGGTCTTTAAAGCTTACCTGGTTTTGAGTATTCGCGTGTATTACAAAACACCAACGTCCTTTCTCAAATTCAGAGCATCTCATTGCTGGAAGTGATGAAAGATTAATCTAGTATTTTCTAGAAAACCAGTGATTATCTGTTTAACAATCTTCACAACCAAAAATGTTTGGCAGGTCAAGCTTCTCAAAGACCCAAAAACCTGCGAACAGTTTCATGTGGAACTATATTCCTTCTATGTCAACACTGTATCGAGAAGGAAAGCGCTACTCTACTCCATGGCCCGACGAGGCCTTGCTAATGACATCACAGAGATGGTACAACAGCTTACATGGCCTCATCGCAGACGCATGTGCTGAGATACTAATATGTCAGCCTTACGATGCAGGTGTAGCGAGCTAACACAGTTATTTTGGTCACACAAAGCCGAGAGCCATCGGTTTCATTATATCTGAAAAAACAAGAGAAGAACAGAACTCTAAAACTCGGCAACTCACACTTTTTGGGCTAAAGCTGACAAAATTAATTCACTCAGTAGAAACTTGAGATTGAATTAATCTCTGACCCTTTTTTGTCTGTGCAGGACCCACCATGAAACTGAGGAGGCCCATTGTTGTGAAGATGTACCAGGAGAAAATAAACGAAATGTATGCAGTGGCAAAACAGTAGACTGCACAGAGATGAGATAATGTTGAAGAGAGGCAGTTGTGGGAAACTTGGGGCGTGCCCAGATGTCATGTTGGGAAATGATTAAACCTCTTTTCACATGTTGAAAGTGGAAAACTTATTTAACAGGAAAATTTCCGATTCTGATTCTATTGTATTTGATGGAACTGATGTTGTTGTGCTGCTATGTTTTAATGTCGAGTTTCTGTTGTCTCTTCCAAATCGATATTTAAGCTGTTAAATGTACATACAGTTTCACAGCAGCTGTGCACATTTTGTAAATAAAACTAATCAGAGCCCAAATTTTACTATATACTGTGTAGCATACACAGGAGAATTATACATTATAACTCCACCAAAGCCACATGCAGGATGGGAAACACTGGAAACAGTCATCATTTAGGGAAGGTAACTTTTACATTTTGACAGTTTTTAAAGAACATTTTATGAACCATAATCCACTTTGGCCTGAAAAACGAAATTTTTGATCATGAGCTAATGTATTTTATTTTTGAAACAGCAGTATGTATTTAAAGATTTTACAGAATTAATAGCGAGTCTCATGTTGTTTACGTGCGTAAACATCTGGCAAAGCTGAAGACATTGCCTGAAGAGCGGAGGAGATGTTTGGATAAATATTTTTATAATGTGATGAGAATTAATTTTTCATATCACAAACACGTGCAAATTGTAAATCATCCATTGAATTTGAAATATTTTTTGCTTCTCCATGTACAGTTTGACAACTACTGAATTGTTTATTTTGTGATAGATGTTCCATGATTGTCAATAAAAGTGAGTGATTTGAACAAATTCTTCATAACTTTTCTTTTTTTCACTGGTTGTTTTTCTTAAAAAGAAAAGATTTGCACATGAAATTCAGGAAAAAAAGACAAAAAGGAAATGTTTGTCAAAAACTACAAAGGTCATTGTGCGTGTCATGTTTTCTATCTGTCCACCTTGATTTCTGAGACAGCTCTTCCACCCAATCAGGAGGGCGCTCACCTCCCCTGCTACTCTCATTTGGATCCAGCCATCTGGCGCTTGAACACTTTGGTGCCACTCTTATATATACTGTCAATGGTATCACTACTATGACCAACACCCACTGAGTGTGGATCCTGTGGAGCAGTGGGGCAGTAAAGATAAATAGCAGACTGGAAGGACCAGTCTTGGTGAGCAAACATGTATCACAGATCTCAAGATCAGCAAGATAAAAGACTTTTTTGACATTTTCTAGAAAAAACAAAGGAAAGAACAAATGAATCAATACAGTCCAAGAATTTTGGCAGAATGTGGGTAGAGTGATTGAATTGGATTCAGTCTTATTTGTATAGTGCCAAATCATAGTTATCTCAGGACATTTTTCATCTAGAGCAGGTCTAGACGTACTATAAAAGTATTTACAGAGACCCAACAATTCCCACCATGAGCAAACACTTTGCAACAGTGGCAAGGAAAAACTTAAAATTAAAAAAAAAGTACAATAAAAAAAGAAGAAAAAGCTAACAATGGAGGGGGTTTTAGCAATGACTTTGTACATTTTTGAAAAACGAAAAACATGAATTGTGTGTTTTTTTTAATAGTAAGTCAAGTCAGTAAGTCATTATATCAAGTAACTAAGTCTGTTGTACTGTGTTGTAGTGTGTTATACTTCCTCTAACCAAACCTGATAGGTAGGTAATCATGGACATTCCACAGCTTCCTGTTTTATCTCAGGTAACAGCATAGCATTCCCCAGTCCACTGCACAACCTGCAAATCATGTATTGTAGCCCTGACACAGCAGCTGTGAGAATTTCACAGAGGTAACCTGGAGATGTCTGCAGTCTTCTCATAGACCTGACTCTTCTGTTAAGGGTCAAGCTTGCTGCATCTTGGTGTGGAGCAGGTGTCTTCTGAATTGGACTTTATTGGACTCATTATGGCGGGTAAATGTGGCTGCCCTTGTTGTCCCAATACAGAAGAGCCCATGTTGTCCCAATACAGAAGAGCCCAAGGCTGTTCCACTGTCTACAGCGAATGTAGCAACAACTCTGGCCCCAGCTGACCAGCTATGGAGCACCAGCAGAGACAAGGCAGTCAGGCTGAGGATGGAGGGCTCAGGTTCGGCCTCAAGCACTCCCATCACCATCCATCAGATGTTCCTGGAGACGGTGGAAAGCTACGGGGATCACTCAGCCTTGGTTTATAAAAAAGAGGGCCAGTGGGTGACCATTACATGGAGGCAATACTACGAGCAGTGCCGGGCAGCTGCCAAAAGTTTCCTCAAGGTTTGTTTGTGTGCAAATTGACTTGTTCTGCAAAAAATATACTATTACTGCAGTGCAATCAGGAAATAGTTGGGCAGTGACAATACATTGGATTTTGAATAAAACATTAACTGTGAATGCTTTTAGGTTTAATTTAAGGGTGTTTACATCTGTTTTGGGTTAACAATGTAGAAATTGTAGCCTAATTTGGGCAGTTTCAAGTGATTTAGATACACGTAAACTGTAAAATGAACCGGCCGGAGGCAAGTGGACAAGTTGCCATAAGATCAATATATATAGTAATCCGACATAAAGTCATCAGCAGTTGTATCCATCTGGTGAGGCTCCCAGACTTTTACTGCAGCCATCGTCACTTCTCTTAGTCTGGTTTTCCTCAGATAACGGCAAAGCTGATAGTCAGTACTTAGAAGTCATAGTCACTGTTTTATTCAAATCAAGTGTGCTGAAGTAGAGCCAATACAGAGTTGTTCTGCCCACACTGTATAAAATATCCTACACTTAATAACTAAACTACAATAGCAGTGACTATATTGCAGCAATTACAAGCTACATAAAACCTTCAATTCCTGGTACCTGTTTTGTAAACAGTACCTCAGAGTTGGCTCCCTCTCTCACTGTAATCTCTGTGGTGTGAGAACTCTTGGGTGTGTGAAATCCACAGCTTGTGTTAAATCTCCTGTTTCATGGACAGGTTTGTGTCTCATGAGGTGGAGTGGCTTTTAAAACGAGATGTAGGTCAAGAGTAATAGAGGCACTGTGCCGCTGTGTCATTAAAAATACATAAACACACATAACTTATCTTTTTTTAGTTGGGGCTGGAGCGCTACCATGGTGTGGGAATTCTGGGATTCAACTCCCCTGAGTGGTTCATCTCGGACGTTGGCTGCATCTTTGCCGGGTGAGATCACATTTACAATTACACCTTTCAACTTGATTTTGTCCCTGGAGGACAACAGGCAGTACAATACATAAAAGAACATAGGAATACAATACAGTAAGGAGGAGGGGAGGAGCCTTAATGAAGCCTGGTTGCTGAAACCAGCCATGGGTGACTGCAATCACCTGTCACTGAAATGAAATGCCCTTAATTATGCATAACTTTAAGCCTCAATATAGTTTAAACAGGTGAGTTACATAAAACCGTACAGTTGTCATGAACAGAAAATGTAGCTATAGAGACCAAAACAGCTTTTTGCACGAGGCTGTAAACATTTTTGTTTCTGCTATAAAGTTGGGCGTTTTTATAATAGGGGCTTATGGAGATGGACTGACTTTTGGAACTAGCCTCAGTTAGCCATTAGCCTAACCATAAGAGGAACTGCATTTTCAGCCCAGGAAGTCGCGGCTTAAAAGTACCCTGGCATGTCGATTACATGATCAACTCTGCCGTCATAATACAATCACCATCATCAACAGCATAGACATCATAGTTCATCATATCATCACAGTTACACTTCACTGGACACTTAGGGAGTAACTTTGGACTCACTGACTCTTCATCTGGGTTAAGGGTTAGGGTTAGGGTTAGCCACCCTTGATAAAGCTTTGGCGACCCCCAGTGGAGGGTCCCGACCCTCCCAGTTTGGGTTTGCAGAAGGCAAAATCTGAATTTAAGATGACAGAGGATTGATTTTAGTCTTTCCCCCTTTCTGTCTGTTAAACTGGTCAGATAGCATACTCTGCTTTATTACCAAGATCTTGCTGATCACTTTACTATCCTGTAGCACTCTTGACGGCTGCAGCAGTCGTCTGTATACATAATATAGAGAGGCACAGCCCTGATGGGACATTCATCCATTAGCCTCACTCTCTGTTTATTAACAGATCTTCCACTTTCATACTTAAGATGCCTCAGCCTTGTTTCACCTAACACTGCACATTTATCTCTGTGCATGCTTATGTTAAAGTCCATCTCTACATATCTGCCATAAACAGTTTAAAGTCTCAGGAAACCTAATGTGACAAAAAGAATTGTTATATCCGCCATTGCTCTCAGATAAATGAGTGACATTGAACATATGTAGTTCATGCACCTATTCAAAGACTTACATTTACTGTATGTAAGGATTTAAATGCAAAACAGTATCTTTTGGGGCGCCCTGGTAGCTCACCTGACTGCACTAAGGCTGAGTCATTAGTGGCTCAGGTTCGATTCCAACCTGCAGGCCTTTGCTGCATGTCACCCCCACTCTCTCGCCCTCTCTCCTGTCAGTCATCAGCAGCTGTAATAGCTTTATTTTCTGCAGTGAGGAATCCACTAAAACAAATGTATTAATTTAAATCAGAAACTGTGTGCCCTCTCTTCCTGCTAAGAGTGGTTTGGGGTATTTTAGATTCTTGTGTTTTAAAATGTCATTTTTTTGTATAATTGGGGTTTGATAATCTTTTGTTTTCTTCTAATTTTGTGGCATATCTTATGTTATCTGTCTTGTGTTTTCAGCCTTTAATTTTCCTGTATCTGATTTGTGCCTCAGGGGTCTAGCAA